AAGGAATCTCAACACATTACAGTCACACACTCCCATGCATACAAATCCTGAATTTGAACATATGCCCCAGCACTTGGGCAAGTCATTTAGTATTCCCAAAGCAGTTTCTTCATCTCTAAAATGGACATAGCCCATCTTCACAGGGATACAAAGTGAACTAAATGATGTGGAAAACATGCTTGAGAAAAGTACTGACACATATAAATGCTTGTTATGATTGTAGGAGCTCCAAATTCCTACATTTCACTAAAAGAATTTTGTTCCAGATGTTCCAGATGTTTGTTCAGATGTAGAAACTGGACTACAGTTGCTGAGTTGGCATTACATACTTTAAAACCAAACACGTTTCCAGGGAATTTTCTATCTAAAGTTCCCTCTAGGGAAGTATAATAAGATGTTAAAACTTAGGTATCTTCATTTTACCATTTTCACAGGTGGAACATAGACTTTCTTTTCTTACCTTTCCTTTTTCTTGAGACTTTGAGACAGGGTCTCACTGTCACCCAGGCTGGTGTGCAGTGGCATGATCTTGGCTCACTGCAACCTCTGCCTGCTGTGTTTAAGAGATCCTCCTGCCTCAGCCACCTGAGTAGCTGTGTTTATAGGCATGCGTGACCATGCCCAGTTAATTTTTGCATTTTTAGTAGAGATGGGATTTCTCCATGTTGGCCAGGCTGGTCTCAAACTCCTGAACTCAAGTGATTCACCCACCTTGGCTTCCCAAAGCGCTGGGATTAGAGACTGCGCCTGGCCTGTGGAGGATACACTTTCTCCATTCCTCTCAGGGGCAGGAATAGTATCTTAGCCATCATGTTAGCTACAGTAACTGAACAGAGACTGTCTATGTGTTTAATAAATATTCATTAGAATATACTTTTACAGAATAAAGTAAAACTTTTGTAAAATATATGTGAGGTGGAAAGACCTCTGGTAGTGGAGTAGACATTTGCTCTCATGCCATGTATTACCTTACAAGTTCCTCAAGCATCCTGAGGCTTCATGTCTCTTTAAAAAATCTACCCTGTCAGTAATGCCCCTTTTATTTGATGTCAGACATCTACCCAGAATACTGCAAATAAGGCCTTTGACTAACAAAAAGAAAACCATTCTAATGAAGTCCATGCATGCACTTTACCCATAGTAGAGGCCTACTGATTCTTAAGCGTGTGTATTTGAGATAGGACATGCTCTGTCACCTAGGCTGGAGGGCAGTGGCGCAATCACAACTCACTGCAGCCTTGATCTTCCAGGCTCAACCAATCCTCCTACCTTAGCCTCCCAAGGAGCTAGGACAACAGGCACATACCACCACGCCTGGCTAATTTATTAACATTTTTATTTTGTAGAGACTGGGTCTCCCAGGCTGGTCTTGAATTCCTGGGCTCACATGATCCTCCTGTGTTGGCCTCCCAAAGTGCTGGAATTACAGACACTGTGCTTGGACTGTTTTAAGAATGTTACTAATAAACTATTACTTGGTTATATTTCCCACTGATGGTTAAAAGCACTAAGATAAGATAGAGCAGACATCCAAGGAAAGAGAAACTAGAGACCCCTAAAGGTTTCTCTTGCTGATACATGAAGTAGAACCAAACCCTTCCAAAAAGGTAGATCCGATTCAATCTAAAAAACACTTGGCAAAATATTATGCGGACTCTATCTCTTATTTCAAAATTACAGTCAACCTGTGATTAATTTAATCCCATCTTTAATTACAGTCAAAGATTGAATGCTCAGCAAATACTTCATTTTAATGCTATCCACTGCTATCCTACTCGTAACACTGCAAGAAATGATAAGCTGATAAGCCCTCTTTTTTTTTTTTTTTTGGAGACGGAGTTTTACTCGTTACCCAGGCTGGAGTGCAATGGCGCAATCTCGGCTCACCGCAACATCCGCCTCCTGGGCTCAGGCAATTCTCCTGCCTCAACCTCCTGAGTCGCTGGGATTACAGGCACGCGCCACCATGCCCAGCTAATGTTTTGTATTTTTAGTAGAGACGGGGTTTCACCATGTTGACCAGGATGGTCTCGATCTCTTGACCTCGTGATCCACCCGCCTCAGCCTCCCAAAGTGCTGGGATTACAGGCTTGAGCCACCGCGCCCGGCAATAAGCCCTCTTTCATGGTTCACTTTTCCTTATTCAAGTAATGTGCTAACTGTTCTTCCTTTATTTTTTACTACATGACAGTAATGAGTTGCAATGGAAAAGTCATCCAATTTTAACCCAAATTGGAATTATCTAAAAGCATTTTACATAGAGATAAAATGGGTTATTTTACATAATTCATTTTACCCTCAATAATGCTAATACGCTTTACAGAAGGACAATGTTACTATTTGCTAACTACAGGTAATCAGCTACTTCAAGGTAGCGACCATGTTTGCTGATTATGATCATTAAAGCACACAACAGAACACCATAGCCATCAGAATAATTAATATTCCTGAGATTGGGCCTGGCGTGGTGGCTCATGCTTGTAATCCCAACACTTTGGGAAGCCAAGGCAGGTGATCATGAGGTCAGGAGTTCGAGACCAGCCTGGCCAATATGGTGAAATCCCCATCTATACTAAAAATACAAAAATTAGCCAGGTGTGGTGGCAGGCACGTGTAATCCCAGCTACTTGGGAGACTGAGGCACAAGAATAGCTTGAACCAGGGAGGTGGAGGTTGCAGTAAGCCAAGACCCCGCCATTGCACTCCAGCCTGGGCAACATAGCAAGACAATGTCTCAAAAAAAATTTTTTCTAAGATTATCCTAAAAAGACTCTCATATATTGCTAATAGGAGTCCAAAACGCAAATGCATGTAAGTCTTTTGGAAAGTTATTTACATTTTTAAGAATCTTGAGCAAACCTGGTTTATGCACTAGATGGATATATGTGAGAAACTAATTTTTAATAAATCTCAGGACAAGAATTGTATATTTAAAAAATCAAAAACAGAACAAAAATAACTGTGTATCAAATGTGATTACAATTTCTTTTTAAGAAACTGCATTGGAAACAAAGGCTGGAAAGAAATGTTAGCAGTATTTGTAGTCAGGTAAGGAGACTATGGCTGTTTTCTTTTCTCTGTATGGTAAATTTTAAGTATGCACTAGTTTTACAATGAAACACAGAAAGAAAGATGCAGGAAGAAAAGGAGGGAGGGAAGGGGAAGGAGGGCTGCATAAAGGTAAGAAAATAGCCTATTTAGACCAGCTGATTACCACTTAGTTAAAAGCTATAATTAAGCTTTTACCCTAGCAAGGAACTTTCTAAGTGATCACAAATGATAACGAAGTCATATATTTTCACTGAAGGGATATCTTACCTAACTGTCATTTGACAGGTGTAGCAAAGAAATTATAATTGTACAATGCTTTACAGTTTACAAAGTGCATTCAAAATGTTACATCATCTGTCCTTCAAATATTCCTGAAATTGGCTCATATGTCCCATTTTAAGATTCAGGTAATTGAGGGTTACGGAGAGAGTAATATGCCTTAATAATCATGTCTACCGTTTATCAAATGTTTACTATGTGCCAGACCCTGGGTTAAGTACAATCTTGTGAAAATTAGTCCTATGTTATAGACAGAAAAAGTGAAGGGGCCAGGCGCGGTGCTCACGCCTGGAATCCCAGCACTTTGGGAGGCCAAGGCAGGCAGATCACTTGAGCCCAGGAGTTGTAGATCAGCCTGGGCAACGTGGCCAAGTCCTGTAAGACGGGGAGAGGTGGCGGGCAATTAACCGGGAGTGGTGGCACCCGCCGGTAGTCCCAGCTATTTGGGAGGCTGAGATGGAAAGATGCCTTGAGCCCAGGAGGCAGAGGTTGTAGTGAGCTGAGATAACACCAATGCACTGCAGCCTGGGCAGCAGAGTGAGACCCTGTATTTTA